TGTATAACACTTTGAGTATGAGAATGTTGGATGGTTGGAAATGCCTTGTCCAGATTTATAATACATCTCTTCTTGAATCTGTATAGCTCATGGATTGTTACATTTTTGAATGTTAGAAATGCATTTGAATAATTCAGTTTCAGCAGTTTGAAGAAAATAATTTGGGTTTTTTCCTTTTAGAATAATTGAGTTTTAGAAGATTGATCTGGGTTTGGATTGGGTTAATTTAATTTTAGTTAATTAATTTTTACAATGAATCAGATAGTGCCACGTATTAAATAAAAATGCTAATTAAATGGACTAATTATTCCGTTTGTGAAAAGGGTATTATAGGGCCACAAAGGTTAACCTCAAGGGCATTTTGTGGCCAAAAGGTAAACAAAGGGTATATTTGTACCAATTCCAATACATTAGGGGTATTTTAGACCCTTCTCCGTTTTATTTTTTATAAATAATATTTAGCTTGTTTTATTATACTTTTCCTACAAAACAAAAAATGATTTAAACATGAAATATGTTTTAAATGAAGTTATTGTTATAAAAATAAAAAATTTAGTATAAAATAAGAAACTAATGGTACAATTACATTACGAATGATGAAGTCAGAATTTTCATTAATATAAAGAAATAGACACACAAAATAAGAAGTCAATGAAGGTTTAACATCTTCTATATATACGTAAAAAGTAATAAGTTAAACTATATATAAAAAATATAATTTTCTACTAAAAAACCTCCTCGATTTTATGTAGCTCCGTCCCTATACAACATTACAATAAAGGGATTAATACTACACCTGCCAATCTTCTAGAGGTTGCTGAGAATAAACAGAGGATTATGACAAAAAAAAGCTAAGAATAATGCTTTGTGATTCATCGAGATCAAATTGGAGCAAAAAGGAATTAATTTTATTATCTTGGGAAGTCTTGTCCTTCTTTATAATGACTTGGATCAATTGCTTGTTAGAAATAATAGCCCCTTTTTAGAAAATAATTGGACTAGCCCAAACAGAAAATTAGGTTAAAATAACAGAAAGAAAACATATAGTAAGACATTCTAAATTTTGCAAAGTTCTCCCAATATAATACAATTTTTATTCAAAATCCCTTACATTCTTAGGGACTTAACGTCTTCGTTGAGATTTGGCCTCGCTACACAAAAAGTGTCTCGTTGAATCTTGAATTCATCCTTACACGACCCCCAACCTTCTCCTCCTATTCTGATACCATTTTTTCACGGCCCAAGCCCAATTGCAAGGTATTGTCTACTTTAGCCCGACTTTTCTAAGCAACCTCATGTTATCAGAAATTTACACACCAAAGGATGTTGCAGAGGTGCATTACATCAGAATTCATCAACTTTTCATATTAAATAGATAATTATATAAATATTACTACAAATAACATAGCATATTCAAGAATCACTTGCCATTACAAAACCAAAACACCAGTGTTGGTACAGTCTGGTGCTCAATACATTCCGCTATTATGTAGAGTCCGTGGAAGGACTGTACCACTAGATGGTGTAATGTAGACAAACTACTCCAACACAAACATCAAGGGTTGATTCCACCGCTCGAACTAGTGATCAATCCTAGCAACATCGAATCCGAAATACTTAGCAAAACAGTTAACTATCAAGTAGTTGGAAAAGGATTGAAGCCACTTTGGACCATATCTTCTAAAGGACCAAAGAGTGGTTTAGGGAGATTGTTCCATTCATACCAATCCCAACCAGCACATTTCTCAGGTTCAAGTGTTTCAGGCTTCTGGTTAACATCAGCAGGGACTGCTCTGATGAATATGCAAACGATGTGAACTTTCTCTGAGATGACATTGTTAGTCACCGTTAGATACTCGGTTTTATCAATTATCAATCCTGTTTCCTCCTTCACCTCCCTCGTTGCACACTCTTCAAAACTTTCCCCTGTAACAAATACATGATCAATGTAAATAGACATGTTCAACATGTTTTGGGCCTCACTTCAGAGCTTAAACGCACTTTAAGCGCGCCTTTAACAACACTGGACAACTATTGCCTCAAAACCATGAGGCTTCTATCAAATCAAAGTTGCAGCAGCATCAGTTAGGCTAGGCTATGAATATGATTACTTATTTGATCATATTGCTGAACTCAAATATGAATATATACATATTATGTTTTCAAATATGTCTTGAATTAAACAGAACCAAGTAATCCTTCTGTTTCAATTTGTTTGCCTGACTTTCCTTTTAGTTAGTTTAAAAAAGGATGTCTTTTTTCTTTACAGACAACTCTTTAGTTCTAACTTTCTACGTAGCATGTTTAAGACAACATGATTAAATGACATTTTAGTACATTCAACATTTCTTTAATTAAACACCACAAGATTCAGAAGTCTTTTCTACCGTCTTAATCTTCGTATCAAGTCAAAATCAGAAAAATAAACTGCTACCGCTTGTGATAAGAAACAACTAGAGGACATTCAACTTATGCATACTTTCTAGGTGAAATGGGCAGCTATCACTCCCTCGGTCCCAATTTACGTGACACAACTGAAATTTTGAAATTCAAACTTCTAAACTTAGATTGTGAATTCAAGCATAGAAGTTTTTAAGTTTTTTGAAATAAAATCAAGTATATATTTGGAAACAACGTGAAAAGTACTATAAATCACACTAATTAACCACGAAAGTTATATTGCAATCTTGCAAGATATTTTACCAAATAAAGGTGATTGTTTAACTTTTTGCAAAAAAATAAGTTTTTTCCTACTCCAATTTTTCTTCTTTTCAGTTTAATAATCTAGCAAAAAATCACTATAAAATTTAGATCATCTAGCAAATAAATCATAACAAATAGATGAATTTAAGCCTCGATAAACAACGGGAAGATAGTTTTAGGTACTCACCGAACTCCAGGTGGCCGCCGGGAAGTGCAAAGGTGCTATGGCCGACGGCGGAGAGGCGTTTCCCCAACAGAACTTTACTTCCTTTCAAAAGGAACACCGCAACGCCAACTTTTGGCATCGGAGGTGATGGTGGCGTTGTGGTGGCCGGTGTTTGCTGAGCGCCGTTTTCCATTTCTCCGGCACCGGAATAAACTTAACGGGAAGGCGGAAATTGCGTGTGGAGTATTTCTATATTTGAAAATTTTGTAATTGGGTCCCGCCACTAGTAAAGTAGGCTCAATAGTAAGAAGCTCTTGGGCTTTTTTAGACAGACCAGCCCATTCAAACTTGTGTGGATGGGAGGTTTTCACAAATAGACTATTTTGTATCATTATTTAAATTGTAACCTCATTTAAATTATTCGTATAACCTAAACACAACTTATTTTATCATATTCTTAAAACCTTCCTATCATTTGAAAAAATTACAAAAATCTCTACTCTCTCATATTATAGGATTCATCACTTTCCGCGATGTATCGGTCGAATACATCACTTTACCCGATGTTATCGAGATGTTGAGTGATGTATATGAAACTAATACGCGATGTATCGAGACGTTGAGCGATGTATCCGAAATTGAGACTGAATGTATCAGGACGATTTGGGATGTATCCAGATTCCATCAAATTTAAGGAATTCTTGTAATTTGAAGAGGAGTAGGGATAAGATAAAATAAGCTCTTAACAATATGTGATTTGTGTAAAATTCCTAAAAGGAAACTTTTGGGATCATCTTACAAGTCTTAACGGATCGTCACAAGTTCGAATGGATACAAATAAAAAAAGAAAAAGATGTTCGATGGCATGTGCATGCCTTGAGCACGATATTTGTCAAGTATTTTCTTGCCTCTTCAAAATTTATTGACTCAATCAGGACAAATCGTAGTTAAGATATTGTCTAAATAAAATTTACTAACAAATTTAAGATACAATTAATGAATGTATTTAACCATTGAGGAAATTCACCTTCTTTATTCCTCATAATTTGGGAACTTTAAGTACTGAAAAAAAAAGGGATAGCAAAATGGGGATGGAGGAAGAAGATTTTAAATGGCCTTGATATAAATATACACCATTCAATATTATATGAACTTTCACTGAATAATGAAGTTTATTGTTTACAATTTAGCGTCAATCTAATAATAATTAAACGAGTTATAAAATTCAGTAATACATTCAAAATTCATAAATTTCAAATTCTAACTGCGACTTGCTCTGCTGTTATAACTTCAAGTTAAGGTAACATCTTTCAGCTGAATTGCAGCGTCGGACTGTTGGACGAGAGCCTATACAATTGCCATACACCTTCTCGTTGCATATATTCGCTGTTTTTTGATTAAAAAAAAAAACATTGATTATTATTTTTTGAAATCAAACAGAATAACACTTTTCTATTCTAAAAATAAATTATAAATTTCTCATTAGACATTTTATAACAAGTTTTATAATCATAATTCACAAATATCTCATCATATAATTCATACTCACGACCACAAAGTATTAGAAATCATCAAAAAAAAGTTCTTTAAACATTGTATCTAATCAAATATCTTTACCCAAATTAAAAAGGGTCCCTGTATTTTGTATCGGTCTTTAATGGTTGTCCCTCGAGGTAAAAAAATCATAAGATATAAATTTATATTTTTACATAGTAATAGTTTATAAGTTATGTTTCGCACTGTTAAATAACTTTTATTATGTTATAAATGCAAAAATTAAAATTCAACTTATTTAAATGATAAATTTTTTTTGACTCATTTGAAAGAAAAATCATGCAATTAAATGAAAACAAGATTATACATATGCATGAACTAATTTGACACACATATTAATAGTAGTTTGCATTAGGCGGTGTGAAGTTTAAAAAATTAAAATTAAAATATTTGATTCTCAGAATTTTGAATTGTGACACGTAAATTGAGAAAGGATTCAAGCAAAAATTTAACACACATATTAATAGTAGTTTGCATTAGGCGGTGTGAAGTTTAAAAAATTAAAATTAAAATATTTGATTCTCAGAATTTTGAATTGTGACACGTAAATTGAGAAAGGATTCAAGCAAAAATTTACCAGGTGGTTGTTGGATAGTTGCTGATTTATCTCCTCGAGGGTGGCGAGATCGTGATTGCATTTTACTACTTCTTCCCGGACCTGTTATTAAAATAGAGTTTATATATATTATGCTATCATAATAATCAATTTATCCCAAATATAAATAATTTGATCGTATAAATACAAAGAACAAGCACTTTTGGGTAGAAATTTTTTATTTTTTGTTTGGGGGGTTAGTGGCACTACCTACTTGTCTTTGAATTTTCTTCCCATTTGGTCAAATTGATAAATAAAAAATTAATTTTTAAATCTTTCCAAATTTGGTATCCACTTTATTTTCGATAGACTAATTACTAAGAGTCTGTTTGATCAAATTTTGAAAAAATATTTATTTTAAAAAGTGTTTTTATTGGAAGTGTTTGTTAAATTTATGATAGCAATTTGTATTAGACTAATTAATTTAAAAAGACTTGTTGATCTAGGGTAATATATAGTTTATGCTTGATTGTAATTTCAAAAGTGTTTTTGGAAAAAAAATTGAATTTGTGTCGTACATGACTTATTTAAAGAAAAAATGTTTTTCAAAGACAATTTTTTCATATTGAAAACTGAAACACGATACCTCAAATTAAAAGTAAAACCCATTACAATAAACGGAATAAGAAAACAAGAATAAAGCAAAAAAGGAAATGAAAAAGAAAATTGTTATAAAATATTATATAACAATATTTCTATTGCTTTCATCTTCTATTGTCTCCCTATTTTTATTGCTTTCATCTTCTATATTTCTTGTCTTATTTTGCTTTAATTTTACAACAAAAAACTGTTTATTAGTCCAAGTTAAATGCCATCGTACTAATTAGAATTCTCAACATGGTATATCTTAAACTAATGAATTTGTTTACTTCCTTCAACTGAAAATTTAGGGGGAAAAATTAAAATACATTAAAGTGAAGGGATAAATATATAATTTTTGAAAAGAGTTTTATTTATGCGAATAGGTTGATTGGAAAAATCAAACTCTCCACCTTATAATAGAAATGATCTTTATGCTTTTATCAATAAACAAGAATTATTATTCTATAAACAATAAATATTTTTTTTCTAATTATCATATTTAATATATCAATCAGAAAAGCAAAATGATAAAACCTGATAATATTCTTCGAGAGGCCATTGTTGACGATAGACAAAAAATTAATACAAACAATATCAAAGTGAATGCTTTGTAATTCATGGTTTCAAAAAGCTATGGAGGAAGAGAGAAATAATACGATGTGTTTTTTTGTTTAATCAATAATAATCTTATATAAAAATTTCCTCAAGAGAAAATTAAATACTTCAAACGGGTAGACTAAATCCTTTAGAAAATTCTCACTTCGTTTATAACCCATTTTATGGTTCTTGACTTTTGAAGTCTTCCTTGGACTAAACATTTATGACACTTTAGTATCTATATTAAAGTTCGACTGATTTTAAATTCGTATTGTGTAGGTATACTTATTCGGGCAAAAAATATTTTTTATCAAATTTTTTTCTATATTTAAATTTCTAAATCAAAACCTCGAGACAATCTCATTTATTACACCGCAACCTTTGTGATTCATGACACTTTGGTCTACTCTTAAGTCCTCTCATGCTAATATGTTGAACAAGTCAATACTCAATTAGCCTTTTTTTTTTTTTTGCAAGAACATGTACAATATATAAAGTGATTTTATAATTTGTTTGGCCAATTTTTTAGAAATTAATAATGTTTTTTTTCTTTCATTTTTTTACTTAGTTTAAAGAGTTGAGATTTTTTTTTAAAAATAATTTCTACACAACAGCAGAAATTATTTTTCATAAGCAGAGTTAAGGGGTGTTCACGGGTCGATTTGGATCGGTTATTGGTCAAAATCAAAATCAAACCAACTTAATTGGTTTTAAAATTATCAAAATCAAATATAATATACATTTATCGGTTTGGTGGTTATCAGTTTCGGTTTGGTTTGGTTCAGTAATTAATCATACACAAAAATAAAAGAAACAATTCATTCAAAATGTGAAAAAAGTGAGAACAATCCATTCACAAAACGAAAAAATAGTTAGAATGACTTAAATTACTGAACTTTCAATCACTAAATTTACGATCAATAAAGCTTTAAAATTCACTATATTAGCCTAGAAGGAAGAGACAATAACATTTTCAGTTCTACAAAGAATTGTTATAAGCACTCGTATACATGAAATCAATAAGATAAATGTTTTCATATTGGACATTTTTGCTTTCAATAAGTATATTATAAAGAAATTTTAATGAAAATATATATAAGATCTTTAAAGTTGTTTATAAAAACAATATATTAAGTATGTATATTAATAAAATATATGTATATAATCCATTGGTTCGGTTATTTCTTCGATTTTTCAAATAAAATCATAACAAAACCAAATACTATCGGTTTTCGAAAAATCTATAGCCAAACCAAACCCAAATAAAATTAGTTTTATTTTATCGGTTTGGTTCGATTTTTCGGTTTGGATCAGTTTTTATCCAAACCGTGAATACCCCTAAGCAGAGTAAATTATTTTTAAAATTTTTGTGATCTTAAATTAAAAATGTATAAAATATATCATATTTGTAAAACATAATATTGTTGACACCCAATTTTGGCCCTCCACAATATGTATTGATCATCGAGCTTTTTCAATTTCAAACGATTTGAAATAATTAGTTTTTAATAAAAGTTGCAATGTATTTCAAGTTTTAAAAAAAATAATATAGTTTTGTCACTATTTTTAAATTTTCAAATAATACACATATTTTATAAAATTATATTTAGTACATTTTATGGGTATTCAAAAATCATCTAAAAAATAATAATAACAATTTAGTTTTTCCTAAATATTTGGTTAATTTAGTTTAGTTAATTAATAGCTTATATTTTTGAGTTAATCAATTTATAATTAAGTTAATCATTTTATTTTGTTAAAATTAAGAAGCTCGTTAATTAATTAGTAACAATTCATCTTATTTGATCTTTAGCCGAATTCATCAATCATCGAATTGGCTATGTGTTAAAATTCCATTGGTTAAATTTGGTAATGCAATGAGCCATTTCGGCTAAAATTGCAATACTTTGGTCAAATCCTAAAGACCAAATGGTTTTATAATAAACCCTTTTCCCAAATCTTGGCCCAATCTCATACAACCCATCAGCTACATACAACAATACACACAATCAGCAACACCAAACGAGTACCCGACCGACCCAGAACTCAAGCGCGACCCCTGCTGCGTCTTCTCCCTCGCGTGACCAGACGAGCAGAAACCCAGAAATTCCAGCAGTACGCGACACAACTCTCCAAAATCGCGCGTAGCCCGTGTCGTCCCCTCCCTATCTTCGTACAAGAATATTCTCGATCGAGCCAGGTGTTTGCATCTCGCGCCTCGATCGTCCTTCACTCAAAATCAACGCCTCTCCATTCAAACTCGTACACTAACCAGTTGGCAACCCTTATATGTTAAGGGATTTTTCAAAAATCCCACATCGAAAATCTTTCCAATTTTTAGAGATTTTAGGCCCTATAAATAGGCCTTCTTCTCACTGTTCAAGGACGGTTTTGGAGACATGAGAGTACCCATAAAAAGCTTGGGAATTCTCGGTTCAATAGTTTAAAATTTTGTGGTCATTTGAGTTGAAAGAGGTGGAATCGCCTCCGTCGAACTTGTCGTTCCGATTCGCTGCCCAGAACCAGGTAATATTTCTTTCTTTCTATAATTTTCGTTATGTGTATTTATAAATTCCGTTTAGAGTAGTTTGTAGCAATATGTTAGCATAGTTAGTTTTTTTTATCTGCTCGTTTAAGCCGAGTCTAAATTGATTGTGTCGTTGCTTATAGTCATTGTTTGTTCTTAATTTTGCTACAATTGATCAGATTGGCTGTATATTTTTCCTTCGCCTTGCTTAATAAAATTTAGCCATGGATTTGCCTAAATATAAAGGAGCCCTGAATTTTCTTTTGTTATACTTCCGAGTTTGAGCAACTAAGTTGTTAGGTTTTGAGATTAACTGTTGTTTCTTCCTTTACTGTATAAGTTGTGCACCTAAGCTAGTTTTTTTATTTTTTTTATTTTTTTTATGATCTGGTGTCTATTAACATTTAGTAAAATGTATTTCTTGAGCATGCTGCCTGTTTGGATTCTCTGTTAAGATCCTTAGTCTTGCAATCGGTGTTTCTCTAGCGTTTTGCTTCGGTTTGATGGTTCTTTGCTCATGTTTCTTTGTAGCTACTGTTCATACGAGTTGTATTTTTTCTAGATCTCTGTTTTATATAGTTTTGAGTCCATTTTAATAATTGTTCGCGTTTTAGTTTGATTTTCTTCTCATCTAAGTCGGGTTACTGCTTCTCCATAAGCATAAGAGAGCTTGTTTTAGTTTAAACTTAATTCCATGAGCTGTTTAGATTCTTATAATCTCTAGTCCCTAATTTCATACTTGTTGTATTGATGTCTCTAACATTTGTTTCTCCACAAGGAGTGTTGCTTTGATTTTAAAAAATGGAATTAGTTTGTTGGTTTGCCTTTTCACTTATTTTCCAAGATGTTTTCCAGTAGTCTTATAAATATGTCTTTGCTTTCTTCATGTTTCACTCATGTGTTCCTTGATTAAGTGTAGACTTTATAGTTAGTAATAAAAGATGATTTATTAAGTTAGTCTTGCCTTATACACATATATCCGACTACAGTTTTGAATGTATGAAATTTATCTTCTTCTTTTTTTTGTAAAAAATCCCCTTAGTGTTACTGCTAGTGCTTTATCATTTCATATTAATGAGGTTAGTTTTAACTTGTTAATATTCATGTTCCTTAAAATTACTAGTTGATTATTTTATTAAGATTGCCTATTTGTATTGTTATTTATCTATATTCTTTGTTATAATACACTTCTGTAGTGCATATATTAAGATTTTTACTTAATGCATAGTAATTTGTCTCTTCTCTTAGGCGTGTGTTTAGGCTTTGTGATTGGATTTTAGATGTTGTGTACCTATTTAAATTGTTGTGATCAAAATATGAAATTTAGTATATAATGTCTAATCCATGCTATTCTTTGAAAGTTTTCGTGCTTGTTCGGAAGTTTGCCCGTGAGGTTTAGTTTATTATTATAAATAATTTGAGTGTCTAGATTTATTATTAAGATGAAAGGATTCATTGGTGCATCCAAGTGATTTGTTTTAATATTTTTGTAAAGTCTTATCACGTTAAGTTATTAATTTTTATCTCATTTTTGCGCATGAACTTTCTCCGAATGAGTCCAACGGACTCCCCTCTCTTGCATTTCATCTTCTTGAGTCAACCTCATCGGAATCATGAAAAGGAAGCTAATATTAATGGGTTAAATTCCAAATCAGTGGCAGCAGCTAAGTAGCAGTGTAATGACAATCCCAAATGGCCGAAAAATTGAATTTTGGATTTTAGAATCCAATTCAATTGCATCAGTAGCAGCAGTCCCAAATGGACTAAAATTGGAAAATTTTGGACTTTAATTAGTCCAATTTGCAGCAGTAGCAGCAGCCCGCAAAGGGCTAAAGATTTTGGGATTTAAGACTTAGAGGTCCAATCTGAGCATAAGCGACAAAAGTGGTCCGAGCATTAAGTCCAATGGCTTGATTTGGAGACATGCTTTACTTCCTTTATTTGTCTTATTAACTGTTTATTGATTGATCGCGAATTAACTCTTTATCTAATTTAGATGAATCCTTGGGAGTTTTTAAAATAACTCTTCTATTTCGTTAGTTATTTACTTCAAATATCTAAGTTTTCAAAACCCGTTTTAGTTAAGTCACTCTAAGCTTCAAGACTAACTTGAGAATTATCTATATTCTTTCATAGTTAGCATTTAGCCTTCAAATCCACGCTTAAGTTATTGTGTTGACTTTTCGACTCAAAAACTTGACTCGGATAAAATGTTAAATTAATTTATTATTTTGGCACTTCAACATTTGAATTATTTCATTAATTGGGATAATATGAATGTACAAGTATCAAAGATTTCTCATTTATCAAAATAAAAAATAATAATAAAAATAAAAAATATATATATAAAATAAGATTTTTCAAGTAATTTAAGTTTTCTTTTAAAATTAGCCAACCTTTAAATCCGTCGGTTAACCGCGTGTTAGCGGATTCTCTAAGATGCCTAAACCCTTCCTTAGAGAATTATTTGAACCCTTACCTGACTCTGGTTTTATTTAAAATATTTTCTTTCAAAAATTTCATTTTTAAATGGTTTTCTTAATTTTTCCTAAAGAATTAAGTGGCGACTCCAAATTATAATTTTCCCAAAACTCAACAAAATTGCCAAAGTTGCGAAATTGGTTTCGAAACCTTAGTTTTTCGAAATCGGGTCGTAACAAATATAATAATAATTATTATTTTATTGACAAATAAAAAAAAAGTACTCCCAAGTCCTATGGAGTCTTCATTACAGTTGATTTGGTCACCTTATAGCGGTCTTCTCAAGTTGTGTAGTTTAGCTCCAATTATATTACAAAACAATTGGGCCACAAAGATGGAAAAATTTAAGAAATCCCAACTTTTAGTGTACTTATTATCATTATCTCCTATAAGTTTTATAAATCTCTAAAATTCCTTATTTTTGTGCATCAGATTAGTGTATCTCGCGCATCAGATTAGTGTATCATGTATAATATGTACATCAGATTAGTGTATCATGTATAAAATGTAATGTATCTTACTTAACGATTAATGTATCTCGCGCATCAGATTAATGTATCAGCGCTTATATTATTGTATCTCGCGCATCAAATTAATGTATTAGCGCTTATATTATTGTATCCGTTTGAGGGATTTCTGTAATTATAAACTTTTAAGGGATAGATTGTAATTTTGCCTTAAAAGTATGTGATTTTTGTAATTTGCCCCACAAAGATACCATTGTTTAACGATCATTCTTTTTATCGGAGATTTTATAATAACAAAACTTTAATCTTTCCATCTTTGTCTATTTAGTTCAAGTTTTTATTAATGTGCTTGTCTGTGAGCTATACTAATTCTGTAGAGTAATGGCTTGCATAGGCATGTCTTGTACTTGTTCGTATATGTGACATTTCCATATTTCAAAATGCAAATAAGTTTGTTTGTTTTTTTGTAATTTTTTTAATATATTTTAAAAAATATTTTAAATTATCAATTATTTAATTTATAATATATTTTATATAATTCAAAAATATAAAATTTATTTTAAATAATTTTTTTTTTCATATTCAAATTCACGTAATTTGGAACAAAGGGGGTACTAATTTTTGCATTTTAATTCTTTTTTTCTTCTTCATATTTGATACAACTGAAATTCCTACCCTCTTTTGTTATTGTATTTATATAGCTAAATTAAATATGTATATTAAAACTAATAATAAAGTAGATGAGGTAGGATATTATGAATATATTGAATTGATTCTAGTATTTTTCTGTACAAAGTATATATATATATAAATCTATGATTTCAAAAGTACAACATGTTCAACGAAAAGAATAAAAAGAACCTAAAAATTGAATTCGTCAAGTTTTTTTTTTAACTCAACTTCACCGTCAAAATACATTCTCCAAAGATAAAGGGATGTTTGTCTTGAATTGAATACGTCTCTAGAGTCTCATAAAATTTTGATATCTATGTAATATTTTGAAATAAGCGCTCTGTCATAAAAAAAAAATTATCATTTTTTTTATTTACACACCTCATAAAGTAATACATCAATTAGGAGAACGTTTAACTGTTTTATTCTTATTTATATTCTAAAATATAGTCTTTCTTCATTGAATATATTTACTTTATTTATATGTCATAATTTATGTATTTATAGTTTTTAAGAATAATTACAATTGAAGACAATTAACCTGAGAAAAAAATCTTAATTTTATTTTAAACTTCTAAAATATCAATATTTTAAATAAGTACAACAAGTTTTTTGAGCGAAAAGAGTATAAAAAGGACCATTCACAATAGAAAAAATTGAAATATTTTGTGTGGTGTCCTCTTTTGGGAGATAATTTAATGAAATAAAATGTACCCATCCAGTACAAAGTGGAGTTCTAAAGTTTATAAACCATCTATTTAATTGATTAATTAATTATCTAAAGCATTGGTAATAATAATACTACATAATTTATGGATCATTTTAACATATGTTATAATTCTTGCAGAGATCCCTGTTTACTTGACGACGTATACAATTTTCTAATTCTTGTCGATTCATTCCACTGCATGCCGTCGGGGTTGCTGCAAAATAACAATAATAATAATAATAATAATAATAATAATAATAATAATAATAATAATAATAATAATAATAATATAATTTTTGTTGATAGTAGGGTTTAAACCCACAACTCTAGCGTGAAAAATGTTTTCACGATCTTTTTTTGCCATCGAACTGTCTTTATTTAATTTTCTAATACAAATATAGGGTCAACGAACCCCCACTTAATTCCACCCCTGCTCATATGTTATATATCTTTCTCACAAAAAAAAAATTACTTATAAAATATTGTGATTTTTAATTAGTAGTTTTATATTTAAATTAATATATATATATTATTTTTTTAAAACTTTTTTTTGTAATTTTATTTTTTTAATTTTTTTTTAAAGAATATTCCACTAAAGTCCCGTCCCGTCCTGTCCGGGCCTTTCAGTTATTGGAGAGCCATACGAAAAGAATGAGACTATAAATGCATGAATTCATATTTAGTTGGATATTAATATAAACACGAGATATCGAGTGAAAAATTGAAATTGGAGAGAATTTTACCAGGGGGTGGGTGTATAACAACAGGTGGTGGGTGTTGTTCAGTTGCTGAATGATCTGGTTTAGAGGAATGAGGTCGCATTGGACCTCCATCATACTCTGTTATCATAGAAAATTAAATTAAATTCAATCATATAAAATTAATTTATCTAACTTGATAAGTAATTTAAATTTATTATATAGATTCTCGAAATATTGAAAAGCTTCCTAAATTTTCGGTATGACAAAATTATCAATGTTTTTCTCACTAATTCAATTAAAATATTTATAAAAATAGCACTAAATATTTCTTGGTGAGAAATTATTAAGTTGTGCAGAAATTCATATTGATATAATATGGTTATAAAATAATAATTTTGATATTTTAAATAGTTAAGGAGGATAATAAGACCTGTGTATAGAATAAATATATAGTTAATTATTCTCAATTATGAAACAAGAAAATAGATTTTATCATAACACATAGCTAATTGAATAATTCAATACTTAAGAATTTATTAAATTTATAAATATCATAATAAAAAGAATCAAAATTGTACATATAATTTGAATTAAAGATTAAATATATTTAATCAGAAATCACAATGATAAAAATAACAAATCTTATATTTTAAACAAGCTAAAAAATTGAGATGGGAGAAGTTTACCAGGTGGTATTGCTGGTGAGCTAGCATCATTATAATCATTATTATTATTATCCTGATAATCACCATTATCATCATCAGCCATAATAGCCCTACGTGCTGTAACAAAGAAAATTTATGTTATAAATATATAATTTTTTTGTTTTAATTTATGTGACTTGATTTAAAGTATTAGGAAGTCAAACTAAACATAGAAATAAAAAAAATATATATCCAATGTAAGTTTAGTGTAATCTCATAAAGTAGGGTTTGATGATGGTGAAATGTATACAGAGTTTACCCCTAGACCCCTACCATAGAGATAGAAATGTCGTTTCTGATAGACCCTCGACTCAAGGAAAAATAGTATGGAAAAATAAGTACTTAACAAAGGTAAAGAAGTACTCAAGGCAAAATACTATAAAAACATATGATAATTAATCATTTCGAACAGTAACTACAACAAAATAATATAATAATCGAAGTACAAAAAACAACAAATAGTAATAGAAATTGGAGGACGAAAATTACAGATGCCATGCTACAAATACTAGTATGGAAGAATAAGTAAGACTACACTCAACTATCTACTAACATTCTACCTTAATTTGTGTCCCTCCACGAAAATAAAATTTACATGCATATCCAAACATTATATAAGAATTATGTAATATAAATCATTATAGTTAACAATTCAAAGTATTTGAAAAAAAAATCATGGTTAAAACACAGGGAGTTAGAACAACAATTAATAATAAAATGAATAGTAATAATTTAGGGGATAAAACAATTATATTATAGAGTGAAGGGATTAATAAACCTTGTGATAATCTTGTAGAGGATGTTCTTGAGGATAGACAAAAAATTAAGAAAAAAATAGCTATGAATAAAAAAGAAAATGTTTTGTGAATCATGGCTTTTAAAATCTAAAAGATTGAGGTGTTTATTTAATCAAATAATAAGCTTATTAGTTGACCCATTTATACAATTTTCTTAAAGATTGCAATATTGAGAAGGAATTTGAAAATGTATGGACAACCATTTATTAGAAAAATCTTATTTTCTTTGCCCAAATTATGTGGCTTGACTTTGGAGTCTTTTGCTATAAGTTAAAATTTTAATTCATATGTTAAGTTTCCTCAAGTTGATGACTATGGTGGGAACTAGTCAATATATAAATCTAAAGTATCACTATAACAACAATGTAAGGTCACAAAATTAGTTACGAGCTTCATCCCTTATCTGTTATTAGATATTTTATATAGCTCACAATTTTGTTTTTATTCCATGTTTCCAGTTTGTCGTTTAATATGATTGATAATAAATTTGTATTGCTTAGAGATAAAAGTTATTTATCGCGCTAATTTCTATTTTTATTATAGTGTATTAAGGGTGTGTTTGGTATGAAAGGAAAATGTTTTCCAATTTTCTCATGTTTGGTTGGGTTAAATGTTTTGAAAAATGTTTTCCAAATCAACTCATTTTCCTAAAATTTAAGGAAAATGACTTCCCTTCAAAAGTTAAGGAAAACATTTTCCAAAACTCTCTTCCAACTTCAAATTACAATTACTTTTTTGTTGAAAAAATCAATTTATTTTGTCCCTACCCTCAAACTAGCCCCCCAACCCCCTCCCCCCCCCCCCCCCCCCAAAAAAAAAAAATAATAGTAATTTTAAAGCTTGTTTTTAAATTCATTTTTTTACCCCACCCTCACCCCTACCCCCACCCCCTCCAAAAAAATATTAAAAATTGTTTTTAAAAGATATTTCTAATTTCAATTTTTTATTATTTTACCCACTACCCTCGCCCCCCCCCCCTCCCCCTAATCAGCCCCCCAACCCTCTTCAAAAAGAAAAAAAATTAAATTTGTTTTTAAAAAATATTTTCAACTTCAAATTTTTATTTTTTCATCCCGATCCTCGATCACCCACCCCCTTCCCCAGCCAGCCCCCCCCTCCCAAAAAAAAAAATTCATTTTTTTCACCCCCTACCCATCCACCCCCATAAAAAATTTTAAGTTCGTTTTTAAAAAATATTTTCAACTTCAAAATTTTATTTTTTCACCTCAACCCTCGACCCCCCCCCCCCCCCCCTCTCTACCTGCCCCCACCCCCAAAAAAAAAATTAAGTTTGTTTTTTAAAAAATATTTTCAACTTCAAAATTTCAATTTTTCACCCCTACCCTTGACCCCCCCTCACCCACCCCCTACCACTCCCCCATCCCCAAAAAAAATTTAAGTTTGTTTTTAAAAAATATTTTCAATTTCAAAAATTATTTTCTACTTTGGTAAAAATAAAAGATATTTCTCAAAAATATTTTTCATTCATAAATCAAATACTAAAAATATTTTCTACTCACCAACCAAACATGAGAAAATAAGTTAAAAATCAACTTGTTTCCAAAAACATTTTCTAGGAAAACATTTTCCTTCATACCAAACACACCCTAAGGTAAAATTCAAGTAGGACCATGAGTTTGTTAGTAAATCTACATCTTACATAAAATAATACATCATTTGGTTGGCAATATGTATAAAATAATATTTGTATTAAGTTATGGAAAAAAAAATGTATTTTCTTATGCGATGGGATGTGGAATAAGAATTGTGTGTTAGCAAATGAGGGGATTTAAATTAATATTTAAAGACAAATATAATCTTTTGATAATTTTATTTTAGGTTGATAAAATAGGAACATTTTGATGGATATGATATAGTGAGTATGACTCACTCATTAGTGGTATATAAGAGGCTTTATACATTGGGTAATTTATAGAAATCTCACTAGTTTAGGGGCTAATTACTTAGATTCATGCTAGTTTGCAATATTATGAGTTTTACCAAATTTTGTTCTTCAGATACATATATATGGTTCATCCAGATGGTCAAAATTAGGTGTAATTTGTTTTAGATACAATGTATCCAAGTGACTCTCTCACTCGCCTCTCGTATCTCGCTCGCTATTCTCCTCTCTCCTTATATCTAATATTCCAGATATATATATTTAGTGTGATTTGTATATATATGAGAATCTTACTCGTGTCTCTCCTTCTCTCACCCAACTCAATACATGAGCATAGGGCTTAAACTCAATAGACATTAAATATTGGTGATTCGAATTGAATGATTGTAGTTATATTACATGGAGCTAATTGTCCACTGGACATTATTTGGTTTAGCTAGTGTTCTTATTCTTGTGGGAAGGATAAGTCCGTATTTTTTTTCTTCAGCTGAGCGACTATCATAAATAGCCTTTAATTTTTTATATCTCACGTAAATAGGAGTAAGGTTTGTGTATAACCAATCCTGTTCAGATCTTACTCGTGGGATTTGACAAGATTTGTTAGCTGAAGTCGGTAATATGTGGTTGGAATATATAAAATAGGATTAACTAAAACTTGTGTTAGTAATATTTTGTCAAGCGCATTAAAACTTTCAATTAATTAATTAAAATGTGTGCTGTCGGTCCCACTAATTGAATGATTCAACATTAAATAATTTGTTAAACTCACAACCGGAGGGATCAAAAATGTGCAATACCATTAAATTGAAGGCTAAACATGCTTATACCAAAAATCACAAGGTCCTAAATCAAAATTTACCAATTAATTGAAGGACTAAAAGTGCTAAATATCCTTAATTAACATAAGTATTAATTCCTTATTAATTACAAAGTGCAAGCATAATTCAACTTAATTAACATAAGTATTCTTTAATGGGAAGAGTGCACATGCTGAACTATTTAGAATCACTGTAGCTGGTACAATGTATACGATATGGCAGGAAATGAGCAATCGAGTCTTTTAGACCAAAAAAAGAAATTTTTCGGTTGTCTTAAGGCAAATTATTCAGATGGTGGTGATGCGAGGTAATTTTAAGGTCAAGTTAGCTAGTTGCACTACGAAACTTAATTACTATCCTTGAACTATAACTCTTGTATAGTTGCTTAGCTGCTGATATGTTGAGACTATGTCCATCCAACAACCAGATACTCGGTTCATAAATTCCCTACTTTGATATATATAAAATGTCTTTATTAAAATAAAATAAAATTGTCCAACTCAAACAACATATATAATTGTATATAAATATAATATAAAGTTCTTGCTCAATATAACTTTTTTGTTACTCAATCTCTGTTCATGCTCCAGGAGCTGCAAACATGTAAAGAAGAAATGGTGTAAATAATGGATCTGTAATCTTGAAATTTTTTTTTTTTTATATAAATCGTTAATGTAAATAATTTTTAGGTATAATACATAAATAAATATATAAAGTTGATTACAGTTGTCAGTTGATAAGTAAACACTTTAAACTTTGACAGTGTACATTTGGACACCTTTGTTAGTGACTCCTTGTGCAAGGCATATTCACTCTGATAAATGAAGTATTTTATTTACCCAAAAAAAGTGTATGAGAAATATTTTTGAGAAAATATATAACAAAAACACCCTTTAGAAATTTGATCAAATACTAAT